CTGAATGAACTCTTATAGCTTCCATAAACTGATATTTATATTCATCCCTCCATTAAAATAAAGGTCTACTCTCCAAGTCTTGCTCGTCTAATTATGATCCCTTAGAAAGAACAAGAGGCCCAGAGGGTCTGTATCGCTCACCTGGATACCAAAGCAATCATGGCAAAATATTCTCCGAATGAGATCAAGGGAATATGCCAGACCCTAAGGCCAATCCTTGTAGCATATCTGTATTAGATTCTTCATGCCCAGCAATTTTATGCATGGTTATGGGGTGGGGATCTCAACTGTTTCCAAGCTTTGACTCAGAAACTAGGTCCCTAGGGTTGTGGCCAGACCCCAGGATCAATTCTAATATCATGACTGCATTTGTCTTTTTATGCCCAACAATTGTATATATAGTTTTGGGGTGGGGATCTAAACCATTTCGAAGTTATGACCAAGGGGTTAAGTCTCCAAGGATGGGGCAGTCCCCAAAGCCATCCTGGAAGCATATATGCAATCATCTCTTTATACTCAGCAATTGTATATATGGTTATAGGGTGGGGCTCTGAACTTTTTCCAAGCTGTGACTAACAAAGTAGGTCCCTAGGGGTTCGGTCAGACCCCAGGGTCTATTCTGATATCATGACTGCATTCGTCTTTTTATGCCCAGCATTTATATATATAGTTTGCGGGATCTCAATAGTTTTAAAGTTATGGCCCAGGGACTATGTCTCCAAGGGTGGGGCCAGACCCTATAGCCATCCTGGAAGCAAATGTGCATTCTTCTTTTTATACTCAGCAATTGTATACCATGGTTATATGGTGGGGATCTCAACCATTTCCAAGTAATACACTTTTTTTGGCCCCATCCCTTAGCCCGGGGGGGCAGCCCAACCATTTGTACAATTTTGAATCCCCACCAACTAGGGATGCTTCCAGTCAAATATGGTTGATATCAACTTCTTAGTTCCAGAGAAGAAGTCGCTTAAAGCAATATAGCCAAATTGACCCTTTTTGGCCCCGCCCCTCAGTCCCATTGGGGGTCAGCCACACCATTTGTACAATTTTGAATCCCCACCACCTAGGGATGCTTCCAGTCAAATTTAGTTGAATTCCAATCAGTGGTTAAGAAGAAGAAGTCGTTTAAAGAAATTGTTGATGTACCTACGGACGGACGACGGACGCAACGGTATGGCATAAGCTCACCTTGGTCCTTAGGACCAGGTGAGCTGACAATGGAACATATTTCCACATGTAAAGGTGCGTGGTCAGAGAATTCAGTAAAATAACAAACTTTAATTTTTTTAACCATGTGAAAAAGACAGAAAGGTATTAAAAGGTAATCGATAACACTCATTCCATTTGAGCCACAAAAAGTAAACACACTAGATAGATCATTAGAATCTCTCCCTTTCATAATTCTAAGGCCAGAGGACTTACAAAGATTAAGTAACCTAGTGCCAAATTTGTTAGCACCTGGATCAGTTTTTTTTTTCTAACTGGTAACAGGCATTCCTCATCACTATCGCTAGTATAAATTAACACAGATTCCATATGTGAACGAATCCGTTCATGTATATTATCCAAACAAATGAAATCATTAGAAGTACGAGTATGGCTATTTAAATCGCCAATCACCATCACATTTTTATGTACAGAATATTCCATTAACACATTTTCTAGAACTTGGAAAATATCACATTCATATAACTGGTAATAATTGGACGAGCTGGGTGGAATATATGTAAATATCAAAACTAGGTCGTTTGTATGGGCGGTTAAACATTGGTCAACTGTTACCGGGATAATGGTATCAAACAAAGCCTCGCCTTCATCAACAAACTTAGCTATGGTATTGCGTACAAGAATGACAATTCCACCACCTTGCGTACTTCCCGTTAATTGTCGAGGTAGTACAACTGTTTCGTAATCATCCAGCTCCAGCTTAAAGTCATTTGGAATCCAGCACTACGAAAAAATAATAATGTCATAAGCAAATATGAAATTCCGGAAATCGGTTACCCGCAGTTTGTTATCTAGGCCACCATTTATATTCCAAGAAAGGATTTTGATACCAGAACTGTTAACGGCGTGTTCAGTAAAGTCAGTTAGGGGACTGTCAATGTCATTCAATACTGGGGACACTGTCTTAGGTTCAGTGTGTATGCGTTTGTATTGGTCTCTTAAAATGTGCCCTGTATTCAAGTGAATAAACATGCCTCACAACCAACAACAGCTGTTGATATATATAGCTTCTCGGGTGAAAAACGTGGCCTTTTACCAAACTTTGTTGTCTATATTAAGGTATATTTTTGTGTGATGTGAAGGTCGGTGATTTTCCTTATTGTGTCATTGCCATTACCTCGGTTTTCACTTGGAGAAGCTGCTTTTACTTGGATTTGACACCTTCCTTTCCGGGATGCCTTGGTTTATTCACTTCATACTTTTTTAATGTTTCCATGTCATTCTTTCTTTTGTTCATATTTTGCTCTAGTTCTATGTATTGATTAACAGTTTAATTTGTGGTATCATTAAAGTTAACTCAGCAAATAGTCATGTTTTTGTGGACACTTTGTAATCTTTTTTTCTTTCTTTAAAAGTTGTTTAAATAATTTTACAGCTAAACCCAGTGACCATAAAAGTAAGTAAAGGCACTTTATTTGAACAATATTGATAACCCTTCATCCTTACAAGTTACAGAAATAGAGTGTGGTTAAGGCCCTAAGAATAGTGTAAAAGTTATCCATCGAACACCTTTGTGACTGTTGAAGTCTGTCAATGTATTTATTGCAATAAACCTGATAGCTCCTTTCCTCTATCAATCATCATGTTACAGGACTACTTTTATGACTCTAGGCCTCGTAGTTATGAAGGTTTTGTACTACTAGTATTCAGTTACTAACACATTTAACCGCTCTACATAATGTAACAAAAGACAATAAACCTGATAGCTCCTTTCCTCTATCAATCATCAAGTTAGAGGACTACTTTTATGACTCTAGGCCTCGTAGTTCTGAAGGTTTTGTATTACTAGTAATCAGTTACTAACACATTTAACCGCTCTACATAATGTAACACAAGACAATAAACCTGATAGCTCCTTTCCTCTAACAATCATCAAGTTACAGGACTACTTTTATTACTCTAGGCCTCGTAGTTCTGAAGGTTTTGTACTACTAGTATTCAGTTACTAACACATTTGACCGCTCCACATAATGTAACACAAGACAATAAAACAAGTATGCAGGAAAAACTCCAACAATCATTTCATTCTGTACTTCTTTACTTTGATAATCACAAACAAGGAATTTAATGAGTGTTTTGGAAAGTGTGAATAACATAGCCAACCACATATACATCCTCACATTTCTTGTTCCATGCTAATGATCAGATAGCTGACTAATAATACATAATTTATTATTATAGAAGAAACGGGTACAGTTCTGTACATGTCCTTTAAAAGCTTTCTACGGTGGAGCCTTTTGTGGCCCCAAATCCATCACTACTCTAAACCTTTAATTGTAATTTCAATTCTTTTGTTTTCAATGATGGATTATACCCCAATACTATTACGAATATATACATTATTATTGCCATGATAACCAGCTGAAATTTGCACAAATTAATGAAATTGTAATATTCAGTCAAGTGAAAAGATTTGCCTAGCTTTTTCCAGTTGGAAACTATAGATGGCATGCTTGAACAAACTTCATACAAGACGAGAATGTTTAGACATGAATAATACAACTTCACAGTATAATACGACTTTACAATAAATACAGTTTGATAAAGCACGTACTCTATGGTTTCCAGAAGAAAAGAACTACACAAAACATTGAAAAAAAATATTTAATTTCAAATTTCACACAGTTATGCAAATGTCTACTATATTGATTTCTTTGGTCATTTTCTAGCCAGAAGAAAGCATATATTGCTAATCAGGACCAAAGGTCAAAGTCACAATCCTGTCTCATACTACTGTATGTCACATACTCAATTTTATTTCCAGTTAAATACATTCTCAGAAGTATAATATGTTTTTATTTAGAATGGAAATGCTGAATAAAATCACTTTAAAAAATAAATAAAACTGGTTAGAAATAAAACGGACAGAGAATGTCAACATTGAACTTTAAAGGTCATTAGCAAGCCTTATCTCCATATGTAGACATTTGTAGACACTAGCACTAACATATATAAATAAAGGGAAGTAATCTGTTAACTTGATTTTGCACAATCGTAATGCAGACTTTAGGTCTACTCCCTGTCCCAATATTTACTGGCAACTCGGAGGGGAGCCAGTAAAACAGATATAGCGTGTCAGGGTCACGTCATTCATACTCACCATATCATTCAGGCTTCATATGCATATGAGAATTTTGTGGAGGGGGTATCGCGGTTATATCTTTGCAAGTTATTTTGATTAACCAATCAAATGCTGTGTTACATCTCAAATGAATCAGAATGTTAATTTTATGTGTTTTTAACTTTTGTTCACAACACAAAGACTACATACCTCGATAGTTAGAGTACTATGGTGGCCTTCCTTACTAGGACCGAGACTCACTGGGTGTAATCACCTCGGGTCCCCAATTTACTGTGTGTTCAACCAGTTTGCCCAAGCGACACAAATAGACTGATAAAAAATAAATAAAGAGTTGAAATAAAAGAATTTTGAAAATTGGTTTAATGTTTTTGTTTCACAATATTAAAATCTGAAATAAAAATCTGTACTTGCATCAGTTTGTTAGAAAATTTGTAAATCAAGTCACTTATTTCAAGTTACAGGGTAGAATCAAACATGAAATAAAAACTCAAAAGTTAAAGATAGTTACACAGCACCTTTAACTCAACCCATTCTAATTTCAAAATAAGGAGAAAAAGTAAGCAATAAAAAATGATAATAAGAGAAGGTGTGCATTTCTACAGCTCTGAGTGGGCTGAGAAACCCTGTACAGTAAAATTGTGTATAAATCTGTCCAGGGCGGGCAAAATAAAAAGAAGGAAAACTGATGTCATGAATGATAAATATTTAATTCTGTTGAAAAAATCAGATAAGTTAAAATTATAAAATAAATCGAGAAAAATCTGCTTTACAATAATAATACCCCAATCTTCAGACCATAGCAATTAGAGAAATTATCAGGGAAGCAATCTGTCTGCTGACTAACAAGTGTTTCATCTTAGAGGTATGTTCATTTCAACAATAATTACAGATCAAGCAAGAGTTCATTGTAATTATTTAACATCAATATTACATTTGGGAAGTAAAGAAATTAGTAAAAAGGGCAATATTTCCCCGGCAAACAGAAAAGGTCAGTATTTTAAATTTTGTACCATCAAACTGTCATTAAAATTACAATTATTACAACTTTAAGCTTAAATTATTTCCTACCACAAATAAATAAAATATATTATATACTAAAAAGTATTTTTCCCTATGATAGTAAACTCAATCCTCTCCCCAGGAGGGAACAGGTGGCTTAGAGGTAATTAGATTCCCATTTTGATTAAGCACTTTAGGAATGTTCTATTCAGGGGCAGAATTGGATTCTTGGATTTCTTGGTATGAAGAAGAAAAATGTTGAAATTTTAGCCAATTTGACTGCCTGTACCTACGGACCTTCCCCTCCAGTCCCTAGGCATGGAAACTTCCTACATAACTTCAATGAAATCAGCTCAGTGGATTTAGAGAAGTTGAAAAAGTGAAGTATTTTTTTGAATGGCAGCAAACGATGATAGACAATAGGCAATAGTAACAAGTCACACAAGACTTTGTCTCAGATGACCTAAAATAAAATCCATATATATAAGAATGGACATTCTTAAAAGTTGATAAAATGAAAATTACAATTAAAACAAATTTGAGATCATCTATTGCAGCCAGGATGATGATGAAACCCACATTCATGATACAAGAGGTTCAACATTCAACGACAAAGATGTTCAACATTCCTCATATGAGATGTTCAACATTACTCATATGAAATGTTCAACATTCCTCAACAAATATGTTCAAAATTCCTCATATGAGATGTTCAACATTCCTCAACAAAGATGTTCAACATTCCCCATATGAGATGTTTAATATTCCACAACAAAGATGTTCAACATTCCTCACATTAGGTGTTGAACAATCCCCACACCAGATGTTAACCATTCCCCATCTAAGATATCAATACATTGTATTCCTAATACGAGATGTTCAATATTGCTCACATGAGATGTTCATTATTTCTAACACAATCTCACATGAGATGTTCATTATTTCTAACACAAGGTGTTTGTCATTCATCACTTGAGCTGTTCAACATTCCTGACAAAAGATGTTCAATTTTCCTCACCGAGATCTCACAAAGATTTACCTAAGAAAATGTTCAATATTTCTCAAACAAATATTCACTATTTCTCACACAAAAAGATCAATATTTCTCACATAAAATCTTTAACATTTCTCACACAAAATTGTATGCTATTGTGTCCCTTTGATTCCCTGTCATCACAACATTTCTACACGTATCATCACCGCCTAGAGCTTTGACATTGCTTTCTGAAGGTCTATATATGGCTTGGGTAGAGGAAACAAGGCCATGTCCCGTTTGAAGTCTGATATATTCCTCACAATGATTGGCTGAAATGAAACAAACGTAAATTTAATGTATTTTAAGAAAAAGAAATTACAGTTAATTTAGTATTAAGTATTACTGAGCCGATGCCGAAACTGTAATTATGCTATGAATTGGATTTTTTTTTTAACTTTGATGATTCAGTTCTAAAGAAAAAACAAGAGGCCCAAAGGCCTTAGCGGTCACCTGAGTTATATTATAGGTACTGGTAGCTTTATTTTATTGTTTACATGTGATGTGGAAATCAGCATGTAAACTAAGTGAAATACAATACTTGGCATGTCATCAAAGGATAAGAATTTGAAAATATTGGTAAATGTTCCCTTTGGGGCCCCGCCCTAGCCCCTGGGGAAGGGGCAGGAATCCCAATTTTACAAAGTAATACTCTCATTCACCAAAGATGATTCTGACTAAGTTTGAGTAATTTTCGGCTGAAAAAGGATAAAATATATACCCAAAAGTGTTATTTCCCTATATAAACTATAGTAAACTTTACCCCCTCCCCAAGGAAGAACGGATAGCTCAGGGGTCCTGAAATTTACGATTTAAATAAAGCCCCTGATGATTTTCTTTCCATGCAGAGAAAATTAATGTAGTACCTCTGAGCCTGGAGGAGAAAAATTTGGAAATATTGGTTAATTTCCCCTTTGGAACCCCGCCCTGGCCCAATTGGGGTAGGATTTTCAATTTTACAATTTGCAACCATCTTCCTCCAAGGATAATTCTAACCAAGTAAAAATAATTTCCTACAAAAAGTTGTCAAAATGTACCCAAAAGTGTTATTTCCCTATATAAACTATAGTAAACTTTACCCCCTCCCCAAGGGAGAACGGATAGCTTGGAGGGTCCTAAAAATTACAATTTAGGTAAAGCCCCTGATGATCTTTCTTTCCATGCAGAGAAAATGATTGTAGTACCTCCGAGTCTGGAGAAGAAGATTTTTGAAATATTAGTTAATTTTCCCTTTGGGGCCCCGCCCTGGCCCCAGGGGTTGGGGTAGGAATCCCAATTTTACAATTGTGTAGCCGCATCTACCAAGGATGATCTACTGGTTCTTGAGAAGAAGTTGAGAATATAAAAAGTTTATGCATGACGCACGACGACGGACGGAAAGCGATTAGAATAGGTCACTTTGAGCAAAGCTCAGGTGACCTAACAACAACAGTGTTATGAAAGTAAACCACAGGGGCCAGAGCAAGAAACTGTGCTTTCTGATCAACAGTAGTTTTATGGCCACATTGAACTACAGCTATATCCAAAAAAAAGTCAAGGAACGTTACTGTTGTACAAAAACCACAGTAGAGTTGCCAGTGTTTTAAATGCAGAGTGACAGAGTTTCTTCAATGAAAGAATATTAAACTAAATATCTACGATTCTTTCCTTTGTACTTGTTAAGAAGGTTAGACTGAAGGGACCTTACCTGTGGTAGTTCTGGTGTGGAGGTTAGACTGTAGGGACCTTACCTGTGGTAGTTCTGGTGTAGAGGTGAGACTGTAGGGACATTACCTGTGGTAGTTCTGGTGTGGAGGTGAGACTGTAGGAACCCTATACTACCTGTGGTAGTTCTGGTGTGGAGGTGAGAACTGTTGTGACCTTACCTGTGGTAGTTCTGGTGTGGAGGTGAGACTGCAGGGACCCTATACTACCTGTGGTAGTTCTGGTGCGGAGGTGAGAACTGTTGTGACCTTACCTGGGGTAGTTCTGGTGTGGAGGTGAGACTGGAGGGACCTTACCTGTGGTAGTTCTGGTGTAGAGGTGAGACTGTAGGGACATTACCTGTGGTAGGTCTGGTGTGGAGGTGAGACTGTAGGAACCCTATGCTACCTGTGGTAGTTCTGGTGTGGAGGTGAGGCTGTAGGGACCCTATACTACCTGTGGTAGGTCTGGTACAGGTAATTCTGGTGTGGAGGTGAGACTGTAGGGACCTTACCTGTGGTAGTTCTGGTGTTGAGGTGAGACTGTTGGGAGAGTTATCCGAGTTCTGACTGTCGGGAGTGCCAGTTCCCTCAGCTGTCGACATCACATGCACAGACAGCTTGTGTCTCCTGGGTGCTCCAAGGCAGATATGATCCTGATATAACATACAAATTAAAAACTTTGTGAAATTAATGTCCCCTGCTCCCAGACACTTTGCGAAATGAATTGATAAGTGTCATTTCGAATATATTATTCAACAGCATAGTTTCAGCATGTGGAAATACCACAACCAAAGTGTAAGACTTGACCTTGAGGTCAGTGTAACCTTTGACCTGTTACAGTAACCTCTGGGGTAGAGATAATACAGTGGTATGAAACACATGTCTAATAGTGATGGATCCACTTGTTGAATTTTATTAAAAAAAAGTCAAGCAGTTCAGAAGTTACTACCCAGACAAATGGCATACAGATGGAGTCAATAACAATAAGAAATTGGTGTGGCAAACCCCTGAAATTCACTTATGAGTGACTGTGTAACGAATCTGTTTGCCATGGTGAAACCCCCAAATTTTCACTTGAAAGAAACTAAAAAGTAATAAGAAGGACTAACCTTGTAAAAGTTGTAGACATCATTCTTCTTCAATCCTCTAAGGAAGACAACTTCTACATCATCTGAAATGACAAGTAGAACTTTGCAAGATATATACACGAAAATATAATTCAAGTATGGAAAGTGACCATGACCTTGCTGGCAGTGTCCAGAGATTGGAATGGGACCCTGACCTTGCTAACTGTGTCTAGAGATTGGAATGTGACCCTGATCTTGTTAACTGTGTCTAGAGATTGAAATATGACCCTGACCTTGCTAACTGTGTCAAGAGATTGAAATGTGACCCTGACCTTGTTAACTGTGTCTAGAGATTGAAATATGACCCTGACCTTGCTAACTGTGTCTAGAGATTTGAATGTGACCCTGACCTTGTTAACTGTGTCTAGAGATTGAAATATGACCCTGACCTTGCTAACTGTGTCTAGAGATTGAAATGTGACCCTGACCTTGCTGGCAGTGTCCGGAGATTGGAATGAGATCCTGACCTTGCTGGCAGTGTATATATTTTGGAATGAGACCCTGACCTGTTGAGACACTATTTTCCCCCAGTATCTTACCCATGTCAAAGTTGAACTGTTGAGACACGATTTCCCCCCAGTATCTCACCCCTGTCAAAGATGAACTGTTGAGACACTATTTCCCCCTAGTAACTTACCTCTGTCAAAGCTGAACTGTTGAGACACTATTTCCCCCTTGTAACTCACCCCTGTCAAAGTTGAACTGTTGAGACACGATTTCTGCCCAGTAACTTACCCCAGTCAAAGTTGAACTGTTGAGACACAATATCTCCCCAGTAACTTACCCCTGTCAAAGTTGAACTGTTGAGACACGATTTCTCCCCAGTAACTTACCCCTGTCAAAGTTGAGCTGTTGAGACA